CACACGCTCAGTCCTCGACCACGCTGGCCTCACTTTTACTCCTCCAGCTCCTCGCCGGATTGTTTTCCCCGTCATGTTTCCCAACACACTGTCATGTTAAGCAGAGGAGTGTTTGCTTCACTGTGACCTCCAACAAGGCTGAACTCCGGCTTGTTGCAAAGCTTGTTGGGGACAAACAAGAAAATATCTTTTTTCGTTCATTAATTCGGACGTTAAAATGTCGTAGATTTAAAACAACAAATACTGATGATTTTAAAAAAATATTACCCAGAAGAGATCAGGAAAGAAATTTTATCTAATTATGAACTATTTTAATAAGGAATTCTTTAAAATGACTATTGATTTTCATTTTCCAACATTGGCTTTATATCACGGCTAGATAAATCTTATTTTAAATTGTTTAATCACAATTTAAAATGATCTAATGTTCCAGATCATTATGACATATATGCCTTTGTAAATCAAGGATTTGTGTGACTAGCCAGACGTTTTGGCTTAATTTCACAAATCAGATCCAGGCCTTGTGATTGTTATGTTACGCTTGAAGAATCAACAAACCACAAGGACCTATTGGACAACATGAAGTAGGCTAAAAGCAACACCTCTTGCATGTCAGATGATAAAGAAAGTTTCTGATTTAGTCTGAAAAGACATTTCTAAGGGTTTGGGATTCTGATGCTTCCTAGGTATTTTAGTAAATCATCATACTTATATTTTCTTTCTGTAAATAATTACCTGAGGTTGTCATATTGCATCCTGCTCCTCTTGATAGTGACTATAATCTATATTTTTGGGCTAATCAACTCACAAGATGTGTGACATATTATGACCCCTGGCTAAACCTCAGAGTGATAACCTGCTATCAGAAATTATTATGTGTCTGATTTAATTTCCTTTTAAATCATTTGTATTAAAATCCTATTAGAATCTCATGTTTTATAGTTTTCCACGAAGTGACGATATCTAGGTCACTGACTGTAAATGAAACTCATCATATGGGATGAGTCAAGAACTCACCCTATTCACTCAACCATAGTCACCTCTTTTAGGTCTTTTTGCTCACTTTGGTTGTTTTTGGACTGGTTAAAAAAAGCAGTGATTTCGATTTTTTTAAAAATGCAGAAAACAAGAAAATGCATAAAACGTTAAGGTGATTGGTCAGATTTGCAGAAAAAGTAGGGATAACAATTTTCCCCAACTTGGGCAAAATTGCAAGTTGAGCAATATTTACTGATAATTAAGAAATTTGTAACACTGGAACTTCCTGGAGAGACTGATGTATTCTTTGAGGATCTAATTCTACAAATTCAGTCACCTGAGATTTCAGCTAACATCTGAAAGACACTGAAGCGTGACCCACATTTTCACCAGTTCTGAAGGAAACAGCTCTGTAAAATGAAAACCATATGATTGTCATTTTAAGGAAACAGTGCAGCGCTGCCTCTGTGTCGACACGTCTCCATATATTTCCCTCTCAGCGAATCGCAACAGTCCTGATTATGTTTCATTTCTTTTGAAGACTCCTACTGGTTTTGACCATTCAGTCTGTTGGGGTAATATGAATGTGTGAGATGTGAAAATGTGCACACCAATGTGAAACTGGGAGTTTGAGCGTGTGTGTGTGTGTGCATATAAATATGTAAAATCACATTTTAACATAATCAGTTTGTGTGTGCGTAGGAGGAGGGTCACTCTTCTGATCATTAATCATTCAATTACACACCTGTCAGAGTTCAGACAAGAGGGAGAAAAGGGAAGAGGGGGAGTGAGGAAGAGGGAGGGGTGGAGTCAGTAAAAAAAGAAACAGAGGAATGCAGCGGGGAAAGGAGGAAGAGAACAGGGAGGAACTGAATGACTTTAGAGGGAATGCCGAAGCTCCAGCAGGACTGAAAGGAGTAAAGAAGCAACAGGGGGAAAAGCTCATTGTCTTTGTGCGGACAAGCTGTGACAGAGGCAAGCTGCTGGATGGTGAAAGTCTCTGAAAGGCCGACGAAAAGACAAAGACACAAACATGTAGGGTAGCGAACATGTGGCAGATAAGAACAAAGCAGTGCAGGATGGTAAAGATGCAGCCAAACTGCGTGCGTGTTTGTTCGTGTGTGTGTGTGTGTGTGCATGTTACCTTTAAGGGCTGCAAACAGGAAAATTAATTTTAAAAATCTCGTATGAAATAAGACAGGCTGAAACATGAGGGAGGCTTTACTTGGATTAAAACAGAAATATTCAATAAACTTTGGATCAAAAGAAGCTTAGTGAGCTGCATTGATTACAGTTTTCCGGGGACAATCTAGTTTCCTTTTGTGAGAATCCCTCATGTGTGGATAATGATTTTATTGAGAACTTTAATGAGCAGCATTTACAATAATTGTCTTCAGATTTTCAGGTTAAAATAAAATTTGATTTTCAATCAAATTTGACAATCAAAGCAGCACCAGATTTTAGATGTTTCTGTCAGTGTTTCACAAATATCTCCCAGGCTTTTAGATGTACTTAAATAACACACATTAAAAAACATAATTTCTAAACTCTACCATCAAAAAAAAATTTTGCTTTCATTTACTCTCTATTGATATTTTTTTTGTATCGTATGTAAAAGACTAAGATAAAATGTTTCTTTTACCTTGTAAATACTTTATTAGTGTTTTGCAGACACCTATAAACTTCATCAAAATTTTGTCTGAGAATTTAAAAGAAAAAAACAAATGAATATACACAAAAACACCTGAAGGTCAGAAGTTTGATTATAGATGAACTTTAAATAATACTAGGTATTGGTATCGGAGATGCTGGTCTCGTATTTACATAGTATTGGATCAAACTATGCAGTATTGCACGTCTAACGACAGAGGTAGACAGTGTTAAGGCAAAAAATGTGAAAGAATAGGTAATGATTTGTGAGATGATTGTGTTTGATTCTGTGTCATTTGAAAAAGCAGAAACTCAGAGCAACATTCAAAGGAGGTTTCACTTAATTGGCTCTCACTAGATGCAGAGTTACGTTGACTTATGTTAAACAGTTCTCATAAACATAAAACATAAACATCTTTGTATATAAGATCTTATAAATGTATATAAGATCCTGTATGTATTTGAGGTATATGAGGTATGTGTATATTTGCAGCAGTCTCAATGTTTAGTTGCCAGTACCTCTAATGCCTCAGGCCACAGCCATCTGCCCCCCTCCTCCTCCTTACTTCACATCCACTCCTCTCTTCTCAGTGCACCCTTTCCTCCAGCAGTCACCGCTGCCATATATCTAATTTATGGCCATGCTGAGTGTGTAACAGACTCATGTATGCATAATATATCACACGTGTAAAAGAAGTCCGTTTCAGAGGAGAGTCAGAGTGTGAGGTTGGGTTCTGGCTAGTTTAGTCTGGACCACAGCACTTTCCTCAGATTTAGGCCGAAGTGTGTGTGTGTGTGTGTGTGTGTGTGTGTGTGTGTGGTGTGCGTGTGTGTGTGTGTGTGTGTGTGTGTGTGTGTGTGTGTGTGTGTGTGTGTGTGTGTGAGACGACCCAGGTGTTTCTGGGCTCAGCATCCACATGCGGGCAGAATGCCAGATGTCTCATTAGGCAAATTTGATTGGCTCGGGCGTTCAGGAGGCAGAGGCGAGATAGTTTCATATGCGAGTGTCCATGACTTCGAGTGTGTACATTTACATAAGAGGGCCCCTGGATAACTATTTACATGTGTGCATTCTCAGTGCATATGCATTCATTAGCCTGTGCTGGAACACTTGGATTTACAGGCAACACTTTGATTAAAAGGCAATAAAAAAAATAACTGCAATAATTCGATATGAAAAAAGGCAGCCAGAAAAAGTTCTTAGAGCTTTTTAACCTTTAAGGTCTGCAGATCTTGGGAGTTTATTCAGTTGTCTTTCACTTGAACAGGATCTGTGATTTAAGAGTCACAACGTTCAGTTCACAGACTAAAACTCAAGTAGCTACTTTAGCTTGTGCTTCAAATTCAACACCATCTATTAACCTTCAGCTTTAAGCTCCTTAAACACTTATGAGGGAGCGCTTGATTAATAATTTTTCCCTCCTCAGTTGGAACTTGACGTGTTTTGAGCCTCTTCTTCACTGCAACTTCATTTTACTGGAACAACTTAGCTTTAAAACTCACAAATTTATGTGTAGTAGTTTATATATAGTCCTAATATTTTGCATTTTGCGATGAGCTCCAAACCTTTCTACTCTGGTCCTTGACAACTTTTAGAAGCGTCTTTGCATCAACACACCTGAGTCAAATAATCAGGTCATTAGCAGGACTCAGGAGAACATGAGGAAGTAATTCAGTTCATTTGTTTTTACAATTTCTGAAATTTTATGACTATATTTATTTAGCATGGTCAATACCAAAGTCAATGAATTAATTAAAGATATTTGAAAAGCATATGACAGTCTTCTAACTGTGAAACAGTGTCCTATAGGGACAAAAGTGGAACAGAAAATAAAGAAATCAGAAGGTTCACAAAGTTTGCTGTCAGGTGGAGCATGTACATCTCAAACTACTGATGGAAATTCCCCTCTGTAATAAGGGAGTTTCTACAAACTAAAAATGCATACTATGTTTATTTTAAACAACAAGCCAAGATGCGTTTTTGTTCTCACTGATAATTATTTGTATCCATTTTCAGACTGTTTTTAATGTTCATGGGAATAACCTAATGTTCACCAGCCTTCCAGCTTTAATTAGAGTAGTTGCTTCTAGATCATGCTTTACAACTACTTCCTATTCTAAATAGACGCAAACTCATGAAACATGTTTTGTAGATAAACTATGAGCCGTACTACTAAACAATTAAGATATTATCGAAGGTGTAATGCTGCCATCTAGTGGTGCAGATGAAAATCATTTTTGTTGATCTACTGAGTTAGCAAAACGTTCCTATTTTAATCATTTTAACTTTTGATTGGGTTAAGGTTTCTGAAGAAAACTGAAAACCATAGAAATAAATTTTTATATTAATTAACTGTTGGATGCCAGGCAGGTTAGCAGGGAGGAGAAGAGATCTTTATTTAAAAGCAAGCAGTGCTACACATCCATTGAACATTATCGCTGTCTGATAAATAAAAGCTTGTGTGTGCTACACAGATATAATCTTAAAGATAGAAATCTCAGTTAAATATTACTGACCTATAACAAACCCCCACTGGTAACAATTTGTCTGAGGTACAGTGATAAAGAAACAAGCAAGTGATGCTTCTAGCTGGAAGCAGTTGCCTATTTGAGAAGAAATGCCAAGTGTATAATTTTAATCTGAATACAACAATATATTTGATATTTCTTCCATTTGCATATTAAAAATGGTAGAAGCTTAATTGACATACTAGATGACTCCATATCAGGTCACCTGTCAGTGGTCCCACTGGGAAACAGCTAGCCATTGCTTCTCATTTGAATTTACATCTAAATTGTGACCAGGCCATCCCAACGTATGACGTATACATTGTTGGAAAGTCATAAAATGCGAAAAAGTTCACGGGGTATGAATAATTTTGCAAGGTTATATTGATTGACAAGCTATAATTTAAGATCGCTGTCTAATTCGCTGACTCTGCTTTTCGGTGTTTAGAGTTGAGGAGAAATTAACCTAATGTCCAATTTCAACAGGCGAGAAGCATTGTGCATCAGGTCTAATACAAACACGTACATGGGTTAAATTAGAACCACCATCTAAACAGGAAGATAAAGTCGATACACAGAGCGGAAACGCACAGAGGCAGGGGCCCAAAAAGAAAGCAACACTGAACACCCTCAACTAAGACCTACATCAGGGACTTTTACAACTGCATGTGAAAAAGCAGATGGTACCATGGTGCTGTTTTAGAGGAGTGATTAATGTGGGTTTAGGAAGGGTTTGTTTGACCCAGGAGGAAAGACTGACAAACTGTCCCATGATGTCACCTCAGGTCTTCTCTAAGCTCTCCATCAGAATCGTCTTTGGCCTCCTCTGTTTCTATGCAAACACTCAGCTTGTCTTCGTGTTCGCTGGTCATCACCTCTTGCTGCTTTGCAGGTTGAAATTTTGTCTGCACCGTGGTCTGTGGCTGGTCTCTTAGTTCCGGTTCACACTCTGTGTTCTCACTTGGCCGCCACTCAGCATTTGCGCTAGTTTCTGTGTGTCGTTCTGAAACATCAGCATTTTCAGACTCATTTTCTTTCCCACTTTCACTCTTGCTCTCAGTTTCTGTCTCTAAGTTCTGCTTGGCTGTCTGCCTGCGAATTGTCCGTCTGTGCATGCTGCGACGGGACTTGTTGCAGTGGAGCGTGCGTCTGCGATGCCATTGGTTGATAGAGTGTTGGGCCTCTACACTGAGCTGGCGGGCAGCCAGCCGTGGCTGGAAGCTAGTGATGTAGTAGAGAGAGGCATATAGAGTTGTAAGATAGTAGCCACCTGTAAAGAAGATAAAAAAAAATTTCTTAGCAATACTGACAAACTCTAGACAACACTGGGCGAAAGCTGTGGTTTTGTATTTCAGTGAATATTTCCTTGGAAAAGTGTTGAGATTGGCATATTTCACTGTTGAATCCAAAAACGTAACCATTTTTTGTTTGGATTTGAAATGATAGTGAAGTGGAAACAGACATTACAAGGAAAAATCTGAAAGGTGTGGAGTGCATTTGTGTTTAACTCTGTTGAGGCTTTGTAGAACCTTCTGCAAGCCTCTTGGCGGTCTGGAAACTGATTTCTTCTTTTGAAAACAGTGCCATCAGACTGGAGGGGTAACATTATTTTATTTAATCTTAGCACAGATTCTCTACTGGATTTGGGCTTTGAATAGGCCATTCAAACAGATACTTATGTATGCTTACAGTCCTGCTGGAAGGTAAGTATCATGTCTCTTCAACTTTGACCAGCTTCCTTGTCCTTTGTGTCAATGATTCCTCAATAGTGATGAAAAAATACCACTGAAAGATTATTTCCCTTATAATATGGTAAAAATGTCTTCTTAAATTGCTATAATTTCCTTTTGTGTTGTATTTATATTCTTTGTTTTGTATTTAATTTGTATTTTTTTGTATTTTGTGTATGCTTACTGTGTGCCACATTTTTGCCTGTGAGCTGCTGGTAACTATAATTTCCTGAGGGAGTCTTCCCAAGGGATCAATAAAGTCAAGTCTAAGTCTAAGTCTCTAAGTCTAAATAATCTGCCAGGGGAACTTGTGCTTTTTTTTTAAAAAAAAAAATCAGTATTAAGGAATTACTTATAACAAAATCATATTTCTTGCTGAATAGTTACCTTTAAGTTAGTTCTGTCTTATTTCAAGATATTTGCACTAAAACCTAGACCAAAATACTTTGCAGTGAAACCAAAGTTTTCAGTTTTTGTGAGTTTGTTGAAAAGCAACTGAACACAATGTGTCACCAGATCAAATCATTAACATGGAAAAGTTCCCCATCAGGTTTAACATTTTTTAAATAAATGCAACTTATGCATGTTTTTTTTTCTCTTCTTGACACATTTTTTGAATGATGCTACTTATAGCCTGGAAAATACAGCACTTATTGGTTTCACCTTCTCCCTGTAGCTGTGTGGGGTCCAGCAGCTCCATCATGTAGTCCGTGTCCACCTGTAAGCTGACCAAGTTGCTACGGAGGAGGACCCAGGTCAAACAAGGCAGGAAATCATCCGCTCCAAACACCGCACCTACAATAGAGAAGAGTTTCAGATTCTGGCCCATCCTCATCAGTACTGGGACATTAAGAAACATACATTACCTGCACTGGAAGTAGCATTAGTGCTCATGCTGTGGTAAATGCTCTTGCAGACCTTGAGAAGGATCTGATTCTTCTTGTTTGGGGAGTAGGCCTCATGCATACTGGCCCATCTCTGCTGTATTCTCTCCAATGTGACAGAATCAGGGACTCCGACTCCTTTTGATCCACCAAGTTCTTCAACTCCGTTCTTTTCTAGCAACAGGAAGTTTCCCTGGAGACGCTGAAAGCTGCTGTCATTGGTCCTGGAGGTGTGAATGCAGGAGTAGAGATGGGAGGAGACAGGCTTCAAGGCCACTTTGTGAAGAGCGAGCTCCACCAGAGAATCTAGAGGAGGATTTAAAGACAAATGATGAGAAATATACACAAGAATAAAATGCATCTTGGCAACAAAAGGGTATTTGAGAATTTTAGATGTCTCTCACCAATCTCAGAGTCATTTAAGTCAGTGATGCTGTCCAGTATGGCCTGAATGTCTGGATAATCCAACAGGATCTCCCTGAGCGATGAAAGTGATGACCTCACTTCCTGTAGGTACTCTGCTCCCATAGGCCCAGTGGGGTCAGAACCTCCCTTCAGGGTCATCTCTACAAATCCTTTAACTGCCTCTCCAAAGGCGTTTCCTTTCCTCTCACTCATCTCCACCACCCGATTGGTCAGCCTCTTCTTCTGGGACACCAGACCACCGAGCGCCTGGCCCACAGCTGACAGACGGTTGATGACCTTACCAGCCAAGCGATGCGCTGAAGGGTGGAGGGGCGCTGGGCCTGTTGGTGGGCTCTCCTGCTCCTCCTCTATGCTGCTGATTGACAGCGAGTCAAGCTCCAGCGATGGGGGCTGGAGCAAAGACGAAGGCCTGGGTGGAGGCAAAAAAACTCCATCTTCAATCCAGGACACCCTGTGTGGAGACTGAGGCACGGGGCTGCTGTGACGGTGCTGCTCAGGTGTTCCTGGTGTGGTGGGCGTGGAAAGGCTTCCCGTGCTCGCTCTTTGAGGGACGCTACACGTTAAATCCCTGCTGGGCCTCCTGAGGACCACTTCTGTTGGTGTTTGTGGGATGAAAGGGGAATCAGCGGACCTGGCTCTGGTCAGACCTGCTCGATGAAAAATCCACAGTCTTATAAATGAAAGCTTAACCAGCTGCTTAAAACGCAATCTTTGTGTGTCGATGCATTTGACTCTGACCTGATCCCTCTGTACTGACAGCCTTGGATTCCTGGTCCAGTGAGATGGCTCGTTTGCTTTGTATCCCAGCCCCTACCCAAGTCCGGGTGGTGCTCAGGCGTCGCTCTCGCCTGATATTTGATGACTGTAAAGCTGCTGGCCGGTGAGTCAACCAGTCATCTCCATGTTCATGAACATAGAGGGGATTTATGATGCACAGGGCGCCATTGGCAGAAGTCAGCTTCCGAAAAACAAGCAAATGAGTGAAAAATAAGATTGGAAAGATTGAACTGATCCGTCTCATATTTAGGCAGATATTTTCCGCTTTTTAATCCCCATTTCTGTGAATGCCAAACATTTCAGAATGGAGAACTATTGCAGTGTTATTATTAACACTAAACCCTTTTACTACACGGTTTTCATAGAAATGGAGATCTTTTTCTGTAAATCACTTGCAAAGACCAATAGAAAAACAATAGTTTCGCAACAGCTGCTCAGCTCTAACGCTGCACAGTAACAATGAAATAAAAACATCAAATTGCAATATTATAATGATATTAGATAGGATAGTATCAACTGCAATTAATCCCATTTTCCTTACTATGTCTTTCCTCTCATCATGTTAATGGACTTAGCATCTTGGTCACTATGCTCAACAGCAGGGTTGATCACCAGGGTAATTCAACTCAAAAAATATGATTGCAAAGAAGACTTTTAAGGCATGCCATTGGAAACATTATAGACAAATACTGCCTCCAAACAGTCATTTGAAATTCAACTTTGCTCTTTGCTAAAGCAATTTATATTTCCTTTCATTTGCAGCTGCAATGATGTCTTCATTTGATCTTTTAGACTCATGTATTTAATTTCCACTTGCTCTCACAATTAATTTCAATAGCATTCAGTTACACAAATAGCACTTCTGCTTTGCCTCTTTAGTCTTCTGATACTGTAGCATACATTGTGTGATCCTCAACTAAGCCCAAAAAATTGCACTAGAATTTAAGCAAGTGTGATTAAAATGTGACACTGTTTACCATTTCGACTCAGCAATATGACCTCTTAGATATACATTTGAAATGAAATGGAGATAGACACAGGATACATCATGATGGATGTGAGAATAATACAATTGTAAAACAGTTTTACTAATGTTGTAATAGTGTGTAGGGCATGAAGAGGGCTCCAACATAAATAACTTTTAAAACTTTCCAGAAATTCAGTCCATGTAGACATGATGCAAAAGTTAGCAAATTCTCCATTATAGAAAATGCTTTTATAAAACACAATTGTTAACAAACTCCATGCAGACACTTCTATTTGATTTAAAGAAGATTCACTCACCATGGCATGTCAAATGCTTGAAGTGGGTCTAAAAGCCTGGCAGTCTGACAAATGCTCTAATTATTTCAGAAAATAACTATTGTTTCACCCATTGAGGGCCTGCAAAGACTGTTCAAAGAGCAACATTTCTGTTTTGTTTGCTTGGAGAAAAAATGTGCAACTACCCAACAGCTTGACAAACAACAACTTGGAACTTTTTACTAACTAACATCATCAGCTATCCTATTCTACATTTCTAGGAAGTGAATTATTTTTAGCATAAATTTAACTTTCACAGTTCCTCCTCAAGTCGCTCAGTGAATGTTTTGTTTTTGTGCTGCTGCAGCTTTTGAGAGGATTAAAGTACTTTGAACTTCCTCACCGAGTAAAACAGGGAAGTTGTTCCTTTGGCGGTATAAGTGTGCTTATTCACACTTATAAAATAACATACCTGAATAGAGCACATGACATGGCTTGGCTCCTTGTTGGGCATTTCTTCTGCTTGTTGTTCGGGTGGTGTGGACAACCACATTTCTGTAGAGCAGAAATCATTACTCAACATGGTTTTGAAATGACTGTAGTTTGTATTTTTGATGCAGGAGACTGGAACCAAAGACTCACTAGGTTCAAGCTCAGAGAGACGATCTTGATTCATCTCAGCTGGTCTGTAGAGCCAACGGGGGATGGACAGGCAGACAGCCAGCACATCCCTGATACAGAGAGAGTAAGAGACATAAAAAAATATTCACAGCCCTTGGTAATATATCTTGAATGTATGCAGGAAAGGAACCATAACAGAATTTCACACAACTAATAGATTTAATATGATACAGCAACACAATCCTAACAGTAACAGTGAAGTGAAAAGAAAACAATATATGCTTTTTTCTTTTTAACCAAAAAAAGAAAACGTTGGGTATTGATTAGTCTGATTTCAGGCCCCCTAATTATCCAAGAGTCCACTAAAATGTATTTTAATCTAAAATTTTTTGTTTTTTAAATCCAGCCTTTATGTGGTGTGTTACATCAGAAAACAAACAATGTCATAAAGACCAAGGAGCGCAGCAGAGAGGTCAGGGAGGAAGGTCTTTAGGTTTGAAGCAATGCTTAGGTAAAAAAAAAAAAAAAAAAAAAAAAAACACTTTTGAAACTTCTAACACAGCATTCTTCAATCCATTATTCAAAAATGGAGGCAGGAAGGAACGACTGCAAACTTATCAACATATGCTCTGATACCTAAACAGAACAGCAGTTTAGATATCTGAACAGAAGAGAATTGATTGAATTGAATTGATCAGGGAAGCAGCCAAGAGATGCATTTGGCATGGCTAATTAATTTAGATGCTGCTCTGAACAATAAATTTATCTGAACCACAGGTTCCATGACTGGTAATAGAGCAGAATAGGATTGATTATATATTTTATTGCCCCACAGGGGGGAGATTTTAGTGCAACTGCAAAATGAATGGCAATCGAAGCATGTAGGTTCACACAAAGATAAGTACATAAAACATAAAAACAGAAAAAGGAATAACACACTGTACAAAATGTAAACATGTTGTTCTTCTATCCAGCAAAATGTGTAAAATTCAAGTGGTATGAATACTTCTTGAAGGCATTGTAACAATATGATGCTTAAATTTGCTTAAGATGTTGAGTAAGACTTTAAAGTTGCCATTACCTGTATATCTTTTAAGGTTTTTAAGAGAACTTTAAAATCTCCATTTGAATTTAATTTTCTGTATGTCTCATAATGAAATGACAAAAAGGTTCAACTCAGAACTGTAAATACGGGTAAAGCAGTAAAGTATGTTCCTACCTGGTCAGAGAGTAGAAGAGCACCAGCTGAGGCAAATCGGAGAAAGACAGACGAGACTCAGAGAGCTGGAAAGCTACCATGAAAAAACAGAGAATGAGTGAGCAGCTCAGTGTCATTACATGTTTCATTTAAAATAAGGCACATTCTAAGAATGTGCTTTACTTTGAGCTTTAAATAAGGAAGTTTATAAAAGGGACTTCTGTAGAAAATTTGCTGTCACTGCTGAAGTCGTCATGCTTGCTGCTTTTCTCAGTCATTCACTATTTTCCTGACAGTGGACTGTTTATAATAAACACGTTTCACCAGGTCAGCAGATACAGTTTTGAGTGAGAAACAGTGTCGCGTTTTATTATCAAATATCTTAAACCTATTTCTCTGGAGCAGAATAATATAAGAAAACTTTCATTTATCAAACAACAGGCAGCAGGTGCACAAGTTCAAACAATATGAGTTAATAGTTTGCACAGACCCAGAAAATACCTGCAACCAAACTAATCAGGATTTTGCAATAGGTTAACGTCAGCCTGAATTCCTCCATTTGGGATTTTTTCCCCCCTGCTGGAATATCCAACCATGTGTGAACATTTAAGTGAAACAGCCACTCAGTTAAAGATTCAACTTTTGGATGGCTACAAAAAATGATTGCATTTGAAGGGAAACCTTTAACCAAGTATAACTGGGTGGATATTTGAACATATATAGATATATTTAAACTTGATGGCATCATTGGCCTTATCATAATGTTGACTTATTGACATGTTTGTTTGCAACGTTTAGCAGAAGTAACAAATCAGTAAAGAATGTCAAAAAAAAAACCTCAAAGGACGTCATCTAACCGGGCTCCACCCACATAATCGTTTGTAACTGCTGTTTCGTACCTGTTCCCTTGCAGTTGATTTTATAATCGAGAACGTCTTCATTCTGATCCCCTGCAGACACACACAGTAGGCAGGGCTGAGACGTCACAGAGTCCCGCACAATCAGGAAGCTCTGTAGGGAAACACAAAGTGACTCATTTAGCTGTCTGAAGTGCGACTGAAGCCCGCTGAGAAGTAAGACGTTTCCTCTGAAACTCCAACACACACAGACCTCACAGCGGGGCTCCATGGCAACCAGGCCACAAGAAGAGAGACACCAAGGCGTGGATATAAGACACTGACGATTTCTTTGAAAGCTACAGCAGTTCATCTTTGTAGCAACATGGTGTCGTTCTGCTCTCTCAAATACATTTCTCTAAGCGTTTGCAATGTCTGCCTGCGACCCAGACATTGCTCAGTTCTACCTGGTCGGTCCTTCAGCAAGATTAATCTAATAATGCAGATTTTGTTCTGCTAATCGACTGTTGGCCTAAAAACAAAAATCATTCACCTCATATGAACAATAAAAATGGATTTTATAAACACGTTCATTTTTATGATCAAGGGGAAGACTGCTAGCTTGACTTCAAAATCCTCCACAAGGAAGGCAAGCCACTAAAAATCTCTTACTTGAGAAATTACTGGATGTGTAATCCAGGTGAAAAGTTAAGTGGAAGAAAAAAAATGTGTCAGAAAAAGGTACAGAAGCAACAGCAATAACCACAGTCAGAAGAGGATTTTGGAAAAAGCTAGTTAAACAGTTTGAGGGAGGTTTGTTTTGGCACTGCAGTTAGAGTCAGGACCAAACACACACATGTTTGCAAGTCATTTGTTAAAAGTCCAAATCTCTCAAATGTTTGAGGGAAAAGTCCAAGTCAAGTCTGAAGTCCCTTGCCTCAGTTCAGAGTGAAGTCTCAAGTTGCAAATCAAATTTACAACATCTAGGTCACTTCTAACCCCACATTGTTGTAGGTTAGAACTACAGTCCTAAGGCCAGAGTTATAGCATGAGCATTTGATGGTTATTTTTAAATATTTTAATATTTATTAAAAGTTAACCTGCTAAAGGCTGCTTTATGTTGTGTTGAAAATTAATCAAATGTAATATTTACCCCTGTAGAAATAAAAGTAGGGAATCTGTTTATGTTGAATTTATAGAAATAAACAAGTGCTTTTTTGTCTTTGTAACAACTATGGTAGCACCTGTTTATCTCTGTCTTCATACAGTGGTTCCTTCATTATATATTGAACTACATATGTTTAATTGGGTTTTCTGATCAACAGAAACAGCTCTGTCACTACATGACCTGAAATCACCACTATATTTGATATAAACATCAAAAATTTACTTGTGACACAAAGTCTAGGAAGTGTTTCCTTTAAATTCTGTTCTCATAAACTCGTGACTGACATCCTGTCTTTCAGAAACTAACTTTGTGGTTCTTGGTTAATGTTTGATTCATTCAAAAACAAAGCAACGTTTATTACATTCACATGACCGCTTTAGTAATTTTAACACAACAATGCCACTGGTTAATCCTTTTAATTGGCACAGCATCCTGATATCTCTTCCAGGTTACTCGAAAATGTGTAAAATCAAAAATGTGATGTCACACTTGTATGCACCAATCAGGATTCAGCAACATTTGAATTGAAATCTGAAGGCAAAGGTTCTCAGTACATGCATGCAGAGCATTGCTAAATAAAAAAGAGGAAGCTCTCAAAATGTTTAACCGTTCATCTAAAAGAGGTTTCTTTTCATCATCTCAAGAAGCATTTTTGATGTTTTCACCAAAAGATTAAAAAACTGAGATGCTGTTATCAGTCAGATCACCTTTGCATTTTCCTGGAAGCAGAAGGTTGGTTGAGTCACGGTGGACTTGAGCAACACGAAGCACAGTGAGTCCAGTAATGTCAGCTCAGCTCAGAGGTGACATTACTATCTCTGAGTAATGTCATCATTCATTAGGATGAAAAAAAATATAAACATACATGCAGTATGTGGCTTTTAGGCTTCTACTGCTCAGAAATAAAGCCAAGATCACTCATCAAAGAATGCAGGATGTGGCTTTTAGGAAATAGACAAGTAACGTCCACTTTTTTAGGTGATTCACTACAACCAAACCGCCGAGTCATTTTGTTTTTGTTCTACATCTATGTCACACCACAAACTCCACAACACACCGGGAAACTGTTCCAAAAAAACCTTCTTCCTCTTTCATGGGTTAATAACCTGATGCCTCCAGTTAGCATTTAAAACAATCATCCTGTAGAAAGCTAAAGTCTTTTGCTACTCACAGAGCTTCTCTGCAGCTGGTGCATCCATTTTGTGAAGTCATTTCCCTGATACGCTTACACTATTATTCAACAGCACTTCTGCATTTAGCTTAAAAAGCATTCTTTGTATTTTCAGATGTAAAACAGAAAAGGGAACTGCTGATGTGTCGGAGAGAGCAAGCGCTGAACAGGATAAAAAAAAGAAAAAACTGGCTGAAAGCAAAACTTTTTGTGTTTTAGCTGAAAATTCAAAATATCAAGTTTCAGAAAATATTTAGATTGCATAAAACAACCAAAAGATTGATGGTGATATGCAAAACTTTGCAAAAAAGCCATAAATATCACTTTGGGCACAAGAACCCCAAAGTGATCAGAAATCACTCTGAGTACCGAGGGAGAAGCATATTATGTTTTAGAAACATCTTACATTGGTTTATAATGTTAAAAAGAGCTGAAATATTCATAAAACTGAGCAGAGAGACCACGACATGAACTGCATAGCTTCATCACGCCAAGTCCAAACAGATGTAAGAGGGACTTAAAAGGACAAAATTTAGCATGTCTTTCAGAGGAGCAATTGCTTAATTTCTCACATTAAACAATTAGATGATTAGTAAAGATTCACAGAGAGCATATCTAAACACAAAATGTCTAAAGATGATAAACGGTTGGATCATGGGTTGCAAAGTAATAGAGTGATGTTTCTGTGAAACAAAGACCCCATTATCATTTCTTAGTTTGAGTGTTTTTGGTCTTGAGACTCCATTTCAAAGTCTTGGTCTGGAATACATTTTCAGTCCATCCTGTGTTGATCTCAGACCAACTGGACTCATTTTATTTCCTCAAGAAAAGTCAGAATCACATTATTTTCTTTACTGCAACTTGGAGAAACATCCAGGAGTGCCAACATGGATTTTTACGGTGTAAAAATGGAGAGCTAACTTATTGGACACCTTTTTTATGTTTGCCACAACCACTATAATATTATTACAGCCTTGAAATTGGTTTGGTCTTCTTGACTCAGCCTATGGTCAGGGGATCAAAACCAGAGTGGTTCAGCCCTTGTCCTCAAGACAAACTGTCCTTCACGTTTTACGTGCTTTCCTGCTTCAGCATGCCTGGTTTTAATTGATGACTGGTTAGCTGGCTTTTGCTTAACCACAATCATTTAAATCAGATGTATTCAACCAGGGGAACAGCAAAAGAAATTCAGGGCAGTGTGACTTGAAAACCAGTAGTTTTAAATCCTGGTCCTCAAGACACTTTGTCCTTCATTTTTTTTCACAAGTTTTTCTGAAACAAATGAATGAATGACCTCTTCAACACACCATTAGGTGTTATAGAATGCTTATTTAATTATTTAAGTCAGGAGTGTGGATGAGGGGAAAGAAATAAAACACGCATTACAATGGGTCCTGAGGATTAAAAATACACTGGTCTAGAAAAAAGAAGAAGCAAAAACAGACCTTGATCTTTAGTGTGGCAAATTAAAGTTTGGCAGAGCTTCAGGGAGAACTTTCATGTTTCAGTAGGGTTACATACTGGGCCCACACTGTGATGCATTGATGCCCAAATGCAAAGGAGAAACTTGAATGCCATCGCTTTTGCAGCTTTCAGTTCCATTCTCAAATTACATGGTTTGAACTCTTAGTTTCACATCTTTTTGCATATTTATAAACCATGGACATGGAAGTGAACTGTTATGAGTGTCAACACCATACCCAATTTAAAGTGTAAATGTTCAAACATTATAATAGACGGGTAAAGCTCAAAAGATTGGAATATTGTGAAAAAGTTCACAATAGCTTCACTCGCTTGTAAAAGTGAAGCTTCTATATAATGTGACCATCAGAGTCAAATATTACGAGGTTTTATTTCTTGCAATTTTGATGTTCACAGCTTGCCGATTGTTAAAAACAAAATTTAAGGCCTCAGAAATATAGTTGACCAATAAAATATCAATTCAAAATTATATTTGTGGAATCCACAAATTGGAAAGTGTAGCTTACAGAGTTTGGAAGATGGCTGACTTGTCAGTTGTCCAACAGGCAGTCATTGATCCCCTCCACTAAAAGAATAAGCCACAAAAGGTCGTTGCTGATCAAGCCGTTTGTTCACAGCTTGAATAGCTGGGCTGTGTCCAAGGATTTCCATAGAAAGTTGAGAGGAAGAAAGACGTGTTGAAGAAAAATGTGCAAAGGCAGTAAGGGTAACTGCAGCTTTGAGAGGATCATCAAGCAGCTTCACTAGTAGTGGACTGAGCCTGAGTCTTTCTGAACAGATGAATCCTACATATGGGTTGCAAATGTTGCATTCCACATGTTAGACCACTCAATATCAGAGATGTTTTACCTGGACTGGACCACTGTTGCTCAGTGATCCAAAGTCCAGTTTTCAGATGAAAGTAAGTTCTGCATTTCATTTAGAAATTGAGGTCCAAGTTGTCTGGAGGAAGAGCGGAGCGGCACAGAAGTGTGAAGTTTCCACAGACAGTGAAATTGGCTGTGGTTTGGGGGATCATTGTTGGTTCTGGTCCACTGGGTTTCCAAAGTCCACAGTAAATGAAGCCACAGCCGGCAAGCTGTACGGAGATGTTGGTTTAATTTTCCAGCAGGACATGGCACACTGCCAAATCTACCAGAAGCTGCTTCAGTGGTACTGAGCTTGATGCACCAGCAAACTTTCCTGACCTTTAACCCCATAGAAAATCTATGAACTACTTTCAAAAGGAAAATAAGAAACACCAGACGGACCAAGGTCGATGACCTGAAGGCAGATATTAAAGAAATCTGAACCTTCATAACATCGTTATCTGATTACCTAAATGCCATGATGCACTGGTGCGGTAATAGACTCAACAATAAAAAAAGAATTACACAAGTAAATATCACAAGTAGCGTTAGAGAAAGAAGGCAACAGCAAATAGAAGAATTGAATATGTAGAGACACGTATCTATTCATGTCACACAGGTTTTTAAATTCTCTAACATTTAGACATATTTGAGACGCAGAGAGTCAGTGGAGGACATTTCTTAAAAGTTTGTACTTTTTTGTTTCCATTTGGAGATAAAATCTTGAAACTTGAAAAATCTTTTTTTTCTCCTCTTTTTTGCATAATTGTCTGTTTTTAGATGGCAGTTCAACAACAGAATATATATATATATATATATATATATATATATATATATATATATATATATATATATATATATATATATATATATATATTCTGTGTTTATATATAGATAGACACAAAAAAGTAAATCAGTGGTCTTGTTTTTACAAATTATGCTCTCAACCACAGTGCATTTAGAGAACTTGAGTGACAAACTTGTCATTACTCAGTAGGTACTTCCTCTCTTACCCCGGCTGGTGCTCCATGGATAGCAGCGTGGGCCGCGTCTCTGTCCCAGGAGGCCCCGGGACACCAGGCGTCTTGACAGCCCCTGAGTTTCTCCAGCAGCGAGAGTCTCCGCCGGCTGCTTCTCCACGGGATTGCTGTCGTCCCGTTGACAGGAGCATGCACTGCCCTGGACACCAACACACAAACACTGTGACCGGCAAGCACATCATATTTATGCACAGAGAGCAACAGTTTGACACCTCCGCAAAAAAACCTTTACAGGCTGGGAACAATCGTAGGTGTCAGGGTTTTTTTTGTTTTATTTTTTTGTATTTTGACTTCTTCCAAATTTTCAAAAATAATTAAAGACAAGTAATCAGGTTGTACTTACATGTCTTTCTTCCTTTCCTCAGAAATTTCTGCACATTTTTCAGTTTTTTCTCTCTTGAACTCCTCTTTCCTTCTTGCAGAAAACGTGTTACTTAAGAGCTCAAAATACCAGCGGGGCTAAAATAGGAAGTTCACTTTCGTCTCCGTAACACAACCCCAAGAGATTTCCTGCATTAATGTGCCAAATTTTCCACATTTCAACATTGTATCGACGACCCTTGCTGCTGAGAAGAAACTTTTTCCCTTCTGTCCCGTTTCACATGACAACTAAAGCAACTTTGGGTTCCATTAGAAAACTCACAGCAGCTTCTCATACCCTGCCCTTTTCTCGAGTCAGCCTGTGGTTAACCAAAACTCTGAGCACATTGTGAACAGCGAAAAGTCTGCATGTTCTCTAAATGCACCGTATGGCTATATTTATGTGTAGCTGTGAAGCTGCGGATGTCCTCTGCTGGGCGACTTTTACAATCTTTGAATGATAACATAATCTGTGAATTTCTAAAGGGGACTACATATCAAACATGAGAGGAAGAAGCTTTAAAATCTTACAGCAGAATAATTTAACAAGGTTTGAGGTTATTTTGTGCTCTCTGAGAGTGGACTGGATAGACAAGGCTTTCATAGCTCTGCATATCACAGAAACTGTGTTGTTGATATGTCACTGTTTCAGGGCAAAAATGATTAATGGTCATTTTTAAATCAGAAAAGGTGGCAACCTACAGCTTTATCTCAAACCAAGTGTGAATTAAAGGATCAAGTGCAGGACTGTGTGGTTGGTTGCCTGCGCTGTATCTTTCTTTATTGCCCAGTGATGGACTGGTGACCTTTCCACTGCTGACCCTGATGCTCACCCATCGACTGCTGGAGTGGACCCATGGGCAAAGTTTCATATTTAACCATTATTCCAATTAACAAATTATCATAAAAAAAACATTTTATATATTTTTTTAAATAAATCTTTGTTTTTTATTGCATACCATAAAATGTAAAGAAAGATGTACTCTATTACATGATAATAGAACTTTATGAATGCAGTTTCACACATTATTTTAAGTGACTCACTCCCCTGTTTTAACTGTCCAAAAGGAAATTTGGAACATGTGTCCAATAAGACTTTATTGTGGTCACCTCTAAAGCACATTGAGAATGTTGTACCTCTTTAAATAAAACTCCTGATTGTGTTTAAACATGCCAGTGGATTAAAGGCATCAAATACAAAAATTAAGCTTCATTTGTAGACGTGTGCCGATTACCAATCTTTAAGAAACTTGACCTGCCAATTCTGTTTTTGGACAATAAAATGATTTTGTCTGAAATGTTGGTAACGGCGGTCACACCACTGTTACCAACATTTCAGACAAAATCATTTTTGTCTGAAATGTTTTTTTGCCTGAAACGGTGGTGTGACCGCTGTTACCAACATTTCTAGCTGAAAAGGTGCAGACATGACCTTATAGGCCAGTCTGTCAGTCAAACCTCTCTCATAGGAGAGCAAGAGGATGGTGGCTGATTTTTAGACCAATCAAACACTGTTGATTGATTAGATGTGAAGATCTGCTTCACATGCATGTAAGCATGAGCTATCACCGATCTCCCAAAATGAAGGAAATAAATCTGCCAGAGAAAGAATCGGTGCATCCCTAATCAACAAACTTCTTGACTGAATAAAAACGATTTTAAATCTACATCTGTCAGAGGGTATGAATGACCTTTGACCTGATCGTACAAAGTTTAAATTTCTGAGATGGAGGAAATCCTGAGTAAGTAGTTATTATACAGGTGACTACGGAGCAAAGTGCAGTAACTAGAGTTTCAGTCTGACATGTCCACTACCATTTTTAATCAACTGCATTCATAAGAAGAAAATAGAATGACACACTTCTCCACTGACACAAAGTGAACTTGATCAATTTAACAAAGGAAACATTTATTACAGGAACTTGCACTGGTTGTTAGAATTAGTATATGTCAAAGTATTTAAGTCCAAGTGAGTATTTTACTTTTTTTTTTCAAACACAATGCTTCATTTTTTATTCATCTTTTTTTCCCCTTACGAGTCACATCTGTCTGTTTTTTTTTTTGGTTCATGTTGCTTTGAATCTAAATTTATTGGCTATTAAAATTAAACTAGCAAAGAGCTCAACTGAAAAGTGACTGCTTCCAATTCTTTCTGCTGTTCCAAGATGAACATTACACAAAAATATTATTTGTCTAATAGTTTTGTATAAATGACAAAACAACTAAAATAAAATGACTAAAAGTTGAACAGAAGTAAACCAGTGATGGTTCTAATAAACTGTCTATCAAATGTGTCAGAATTTTTACCAAACAGGAAGTTCATTCTCTGCGGAAACATTGTGACAGCTTTATCAGATGAACTGCTTTTAGTTTGGGGGGAGGGAATGTTTGGCCAGAACCTCGTTATCTCAAATCCAAATCCGGTTCTCTTTAAAATGCAGCTCGTCAGAACACATCAACCATAAGTTGGTTATGCTTAGAAGGAACGCATGGGGCTAAAATCTACATACAATGAAATTAAATCGATCAAAGGGAAAATGTTATCTTCAGCTGGGGAAAATAGAAGCTTATGGAAAGTATAGAGAAGTTAGTAAAGTGCAAAATGACTGATAAAAACAAAAGTATAATTATGGAAAAGAACCGTCCTCAGTTCTGACAATGTACAATTAGAGAAACCCAACAGAGCTTCATTTCTGAACATCAAACCCTTATATATTAACCTCTGGTTAAGCTTTTAACTGTTGCTTTTGTTTTGTTAATCAAACGCAGATCACTCCTCTGCTTTGGACTTTGGTTCAGCTGAAGCCGGAGCGCCTTTGGCTGCAGCTCCTTTGCTTCCTCCGGGATTCTCTTGCTTGTCCTCACTGTCGATCCTGGCATGCTCCTTCTTCACAAGCTCTTCCAGCTCCGCCTGAATGGATGTGGAAAACAAAACAGGGATGAATACAGAATATAAACATAATGGAGGACAAATGAGTACTAAGTTTTATGGTGTCAAACGAATAATGTGTTACTGAATGTTTTCACCAACTGACAGCATCCTGACCTACTGCGGCTTAATTTTATGACCAATTAGATGATTTTGTAGACTGTAAATAAAAACACCAAACTTTCAGACAAAGATGGTCAGCAATTATAAACTTTGGTGGATGAAAGAATCATATCACACTGAAAATGCATTCTTTGTCATTATACAGTAAACACTTTAAATGTTACACATTTACATCCTAATATACATGCATTGTACAAAAGAGGGGCTCGTTATAAGCAACATGTCTCCTTCAAATTTGACAAGACTTGATGCTTCACAAAACACTCTACATTTCTTCAAAGATAGACCCACATGAAATGGATTTTAGATAAACGGTGACACAGCAGCTTTATGGTTATGTGCTCATTCTTTACTGATGGAGCTCAGCTAGAAATACTGCAAAGCTGCAGACATACAAGATTTCAATGAGAAAACTGTGGGGCTCACCTTCCAACCCAGTAAGTCAGCGAGAGCTAAGCAGCCGTCATCACACGTACTGATCTGAGCTACGTCTCTGAAACCAGGATAAAATATGACATGTTGGATGCAGAGATGATTTCGAGAAAGGCTTTCATATCCCGTCACAATAATACAAACCAAAAAATACAATCTATGTCTTTAATTAATCCATTGTTGTTAAATTTAGATTTACTTGCACTTTTGTTTATATAAGTGGATTTATTATCAAAGGCACAAAAAACCGTTTCAGAAAACATACTTTTTCACAAGTGGATCAGAGCATAAAAACAAACAAGAAAACCCAACCCAAACATACAATGAACAAATATTTAGTTATATCTAAGATCATACATAATCAATGTTGATTCTTGATGTCATTTTTCATTAATTACAAAGTGGTTAGCTTAAAATCTCTTGGTACAAATAAATCAAAGAACAAAGCAATTCAAAGCAGACAAATAGCTGTGCACTTTGCACACAAGTCTGTCTTCCAGACTCTAAAATTAAAAATGAAAATTTTATTTATTTGTACTTATTATTCTGATGATAGATGTAACTATGTAGCACTGTCTTTCTGTACACACAACAGCAGTAAAGACTATACTTTATAAGAAGAATGAAATTGAATATGGTTGTAATTTCATCTCACTATGCCACTCTGAAAAGTATTACATGGTATTGGATCACAGCCTGGTTTAGTAACTTAACTGTCCAATTTTGGGGCAGGCTTACATTTATGTAGCCATAAAAATAATCATCCTGAAACACTCTGAACCAGACAGACTATAAGTGCACAAGCAGTGATGAGAATGTGACTATGAACACCCACAGTTCACTGAATATGAAGGAGCCTGAGGGCGTCACAGTGTGGGACCAACAGACTGAAACTGTCATTTGTTCCAGGCTCAATCAGTCTGTTCCACGGCACATCAGCACCTGAGCACTTTCCTTTTCACCACTAACACCTATACACACCACTTGTTGCACTGTTTGGTTTGAGTCTGTGTTTTATCAGTCTGTGGTGTTTTAATGCTTTTATTGCAACTGTGTAGAATAAATCTCCCTTTAGGTACAATGAAATATTTACTTGTATTCTATTCTCAGCTTCATGCGAAGAGAAATAGAAAAAACACCAATGGTAACTCTTTCAGGATGCAATGTGATCACTCTCAGGTTATTATTCTGATATTTATATTCAGTCATTTCTTCCTAAATTATGCACGATAGTTCACTGCCCCCTGGTGGTTAAATAATACCTCTAACCCAGAAAATATGACATGAATAAATAAGATCAGAAAAAGAGATGCATTGATCAGAATTGTAAGTCTTAATGTAATACTTAATAAATACCATTTGTTTTTAAGAGATATAACATAACTTATGACAGTAATCAAAATATTTCCTTCGAGCAATTACTTGTGGTATTACCTACGTTTTCTGGAGAATGTAGATGAGGAGCTTTAAAACTTAAAAAATTCTGCCATCATTCTTAAACGTAGCACATGACAATAAAACATGTTAACAAACTCAAAAGAATAAAATACAGTTCAGTGTTCCTGTTGACTCAGTCTTTCTGCTGGCCTTATGGATAACAGACATGTCTTAATGTGTCGTTCAAAATACAATTTCCTTTAAAATACTGCATCTCTGTATTTCTTTTACTATGAAAATAGGTAACTTGCTGTCAACAGAATCTGCACTGAACTTTCATACCATTCATGTAAAATGTTTCCAACTGGCTGGTCAATCTTGAAATTGTCAGTTTTTCAGATTACCTCTGATGAAAAGAAATGTATCCTCAACAGGCAGTGAGGATACATTTTATCAAGCCAGTTTATCAAAGAATATGTCAGAATTTCAGTATTACCTATATGCCTTGTCTGAATCAAAGTCCATCCCCCCTCCAAAGCCAAGCAATCCCAACATAGGATCTACCTGCAGACAAAACCAAATAAACCTTTCCAGCCACAGTAGCTTAGACAAGGCAGTGTGAAGAAAGTAGGTAATGAAAAGGTGATAGAGCAGTAAAAACTTACCTGTCCTGTTTTCTCCATGTTAATGAGCAACCTGGGGCAACTTTTTGAAACTCTAAATGACAAAAATGGAAGATGAAAGAATTCAACAGGAAAGCCAAAGCAGGACAGTTTCAGAAATGACTAGTTACGTTACATAATTGGATTAGAAATGCTTCTGAGACTAGATGTGAAGTACCTGCTGATTAAACTTGCAAACGGTTGAACCTGCAGAGACGTGCCCATGACTATGAGGAGATCGCATCGAGGAAAATCCTGACAGGGAAGCAAAGGTGAGACATTAATTTGTTTATGTTTTTGCAGAGGTTAAATAATCCTGAACAAATCACCATTATGTGCTCACCATTTTCATGGAAGTGAAGAAACGGGTTGGCAGGTTCTCTCCAAAAAAGACTATATCTGAGGAAAGCGAGATGAGGACAAACGGTGAGAAAAGATCTGTGATTTTTCTGGAAGCACAAATAAAATCAATGAAATAGCAACAGAATTTGCAGAACTAAGACAAATAAAGCAAAATTTTAAATGAACAAACATAATGATCGACTGACCTGGTTTGACCAAACTGCTGCATTTTTCACACTTTGGAATCTCGTCAGAGAAGATTTTTTCTAAAACACAGACAAAATTCAAATCTCATATCTCAAGAGATCACAGGAGCTTAAAAATGTCGACGCACCTTTCATCCAGGCCAAGTTGTACTCCTTTCTGCAGAGGAATTTGACACAGTGAGAGGTGTAGAACGTTCCATGCGCTTCGATCAGATCGTCTCCTTCCAGCCCTGCGACTCGCTCCAGGGTGTCGATGTTCTGAGGAGACATGCACACCAACATGGATACAGAAACTTACAGTAACTTGAATTATTCTGTGTGCAGCGACATATTATTTCTCTCTCCCCACCTGCGTGTAGCATCGTCTCAGAACCCCCTTATCCTTCAGCATCTTTATGAAGTAGTGGCAGATTGTGGGCTAAAACCAAGCATGAGGGGAAAAAAAACAACTCTGAGTATTTAGTAAGGCCTCCTTTTCCCAATTTGCAGGCTGCTTGTTATACCTTAAACTGTCCTGGGTACAGCTCCCTGGCCAAGGCGAAGAATGGTTCTGGATGTTTCTGTGACGAAATTATGAAACATTCTTAAATTGTCACGTCACTGTTTTGAGAGATGTGATTCAATCTTGAACAGACCTTAAAATAATCGATCTGGAAGATAGCCTCCGGATAAGGCAGGTTGTACTTTTGCAGGTTTGCAT